TCCATGCCACGAACCATGATTAATTTTATTTGTAATATTTAGTAGGGTTATGTTATGTTGTTATTTTTGATATAGTTTTTAACAACGGTCCTAGAACGATTTCATATTGTTTCGTTATACGAAGTCTTTGGTATTTGCGTAATTTGATTTATTAAGGCCCTGAGGATCATCATTGTTGATTAAAAGAAAAAAAATCTAGAAATTCAAATATACTGCAATGGGCAATGACAAAAAACGCAGATCTCGAAGTAGAGAGAGATCTGAAAAAGGGAAAGATAAAAGAAGTAAAAGGTCTAGATCTCGAAGTAAAGAGTGTTTAGATAGACATAAACGACATAGATCTCGTTCTAAAGATAAATATGATGGTACTTCTAATGCACATGATAGCTTAAAATATGAAAAAACAGAAAGAACAGATAACTATAGATATACTAAAACGGAAAAGGATAAACATGATGAAAGAAAAGAGTCAAAAGAGAAAAGAAATAAGGACTTGAAAAGAAGAAGTCCAACACCTCAGGATAATGAAAATTTAAAATTGAAAAGTGAAACTATTTTAAAACAAGAATCTGTAAAAAAAGAACCTTTGTCATTGGAAGAATTGCTTGCTAAAAAAAAGGCAGCAGAAGCTATTAAAAGTAAAGTAAGTTAGATTTTATCAAAAGTGTATTTGCAATTTGCGATTATAAGTATACTGCTGTGTTATTATGAATGGAACACTGTATATTATTTTCTTGGATCTAGAAAGACAAAATTTTGGGTAAAAAATCTGTAGATAATATACCCATATCTGTACCATTGGTTTTATAAGCCAGAAAGTTTATTGTTTTTCGGACTAAAGTATTGAAAATAAAAAAGTTACAGTAGATTTTTGGAAATGCAATAATCGCTTTTTTCTAAATATGTATTATATAAATATTTTCTATATATTAAGGGTACATATACAATTAGACGGAGGAAAATGAGTCAATTTTGAGGAATTTTTTAAACTAAGAAATATTCATTCTACATTCATCGGATTGTAGATGTTTTTTAATAGGATATTCGATATTCAAGTATAAAAAAAAATTGTTTTCAATTCATCGTCAAAATGCGGAGCTGTGGTAGAGAATCACAGCAAGGTTGCGACGCACCGTACAACTTTCAAAACAGTATACGACCTAGCTTCTCACAAAAGTTGATCTGCATCAAAATATAAAAATTTTCTTATTTAAAATGTGTAGTTTCTATGTGACGTGAAAAATAGAAAAAATGCAAATTTGAAAAAACGGCACGCATTTAAAGACAAAAATCAACTTTCCAAGTGAAATTTCTGCGGAATTTATATAAGAAAATAGATTTTCAAAATTTTTAAATTAATTCCTGTCATAAAGAATGTTATCAACATTTCTACCAAGGGGGAACTCAATTGGTTCAATATTTTTTGCGCGCAATCGTGTACACCATTTCCAGAAATGTAGTTTCGAGAAAAACGGTAAATAACCCTTCCTATTCTATTCTCTACAGAAGGAGTCGTTCGACAAACGAGTGTCACTGGACGAAGGGGCAACTATAAACTTTAAAAAACTAAGGCGGCTATTTTCCGAGACTCATCCGAAAACGGTTAACTCTTCTACAAACATCTGGTCAACGAGTATACCTGTGCGCTCTTGTTTTTACCTGGAGCATACACAACGTTTAGCGGCGGAGTTTTTCGAATTTCACTTTCAAACTTTCAGAATATATTCTTCACATACAGTTCTATCGTTTAAGAATATAAAATAAAAATCGATTTTCTAAACTCTTGTTTAGACCAGATTTATGAATGTAATTTTATGTATTTATTTGCCTATACAGGGTGACTCATTAACAATGGGAAAATCCAAAGCTGAAGATACTACACGTAAAATGGTGACCATTGGCGCAAATATGCCTTATCCGAAAGTTGATAGTTTCGGAAATACAGGGTGTTGAAAGTAAAAATTTTAAATAGTTTTTTTGCGATTATTCTGAAACTATGTAAGTTAGGAACTTGAAAATTTGTGAAACTATATTTTTTTAAGCGACGAATAAGATGCATGTTGCAATTTCAGCGTTGGTTATAGAGGGCGCCATTTACGACCAATTTTACCAAAAATTTAGTTAATAATTTTTTACCCTGTATGTCTAATATGAAACTTGATTAAAAACCTGAAAGAGCAATCATTTTTCCATTAATTATGTACTCTTGTTTCATTTCGGTATATCGATTTGTTTTCAAGAAAAATAGATTTAACGAACACTATGTTTTGATGATACGAGAAATTAAAGGCAAAACAAACTACGTGCTTCTTCATGTTATTACAACAATTAATGATAAAACAAATGAAATACATATAATGATTTAAAGTAATAATTGTTCGAAGAATCCACCGTTGACACTGATACACTTTACACGTTTTCTGAGATATCTTCAGGTTTGAAACAACATATTGGGATTGCGTCTGACTTCGCTGGCAGCGATTCGTATTCTTTGGCACAACTATATTTTTCATTCAAGACCAAAAAGAAAAATCAAGAGGATTGAAGTCCGGACTTCTGGGTGGACCAGCAAAAATGCTTACATGGCTAATCCAGCAATTTGGAAAAACTACATTTAAATATGCACGCACTGGCCCAGAAAAATACGGTGGAGTTCCGTTGTGCATGAACCACATGTCTCTTCTTAAATAAAGTACAACTTCTTCAAGCCGTGGAAGCATTTGTGCTTGGCCACCCAGAAGACCAGACTTCATCCTCTTGATTTTTCTATTTGGCCTCGAATGAAAGATATCGTTTACAAAGAATCTATTGGTTCGTATGAAGACTTGTGGCAAAGAATTCAAATCGCTGCCAACGAAGTCAGACGCAATCCCAATATGTTGTTTCAAACTCGAAGATCTCTCAGAAAACGTTGTGTAAAGTGTATCAGTGTCAACGGTGGATTCTTCGAACAATTACTTTAAATCATTATTACATAATGTAGGATCGTATTCGATTCAAAGTAGAGCAAAAAGTTGTTGGTCTTTTATCAAAGGAAAATTGTGTCATCATTTTTAGGAGGCGTAAGATGAACTATTTCAAATATAAAATGAAATCGAATGTAAAATCTGAAATACTACTGCATACGCACTGTATTCTGGTAGTAGCTGTAGTCGTCCAGGTGCATTGAATGTACGAAGTGGTCGGTTATACGTCAAATACTAACCTAGCGAGCTTGTTCGTAAATCAGAGAGCACCTCCAAAAAACAAGTAAACAACAGTGGCACGTACAGAGGTAAAATGTAGGTGATTCACTATATTTTGACCCCCCTCTTTAACTTTTTTGTTTTAAGAGTTATAAAAAAATGTGAAATATAAAAGTTGTTGATAGTAGAAAAACAAGTGGTCCAAATAAAATGGCCGCAGATGTTAACTTTGTTAAGTTAAATGGAACACCCTGTATATTTTTACATATTTGGATAGAACGTTCAAACGTGTCGAGCATAGTCATGTAGGGTTTGTTGGGTAAATCTCTAACAATAAGCGAGATACTATTAAAAAACGAAAAGAAGGTTTTTTATTAAGAAAATAAGACTTTTTGTAATTGAGGCCAATTACTCATTGGCAATGTTATATGGTAGGTCGTGACAGTGACAAGTAGTAAGGTCTTGACAACATTGTTATCGATTGACAGTTTGTATTATTTAATTAAAGTACGTTACACAGAAGTAGAAAATTATTTAGAATTAAAATAGAGTATGGAGAAATTTGCTCTATTTTAATTCCTATAATATTTCAATTTTCTACTTCTGTGTAACCCATTTTAATTAAATAATAATATAAACTGTCAAACAATAACAATGTTGTCATGACATTACCTGTCACTGTCACGACCTACCATATAACGTTGTCCATGTGAGATTTAGTTAATGTACCTATACTCATTTTGGACCATATCAATGTCTGATCTGTCAAAATACATTATAACTAAATCTGTAATTCCTTAACTTAATTTGAAAAAAGCAGAAATGCCTGAAAGGCATTAACAATAATTACAAGATGTCTTATTTTCTTAATAAAAAAACCTTCTTTTTGCTTTTTAATAGTATCTCGCTTATTGTTAGAGATGGACCCAACAAACCCTACATGACTATGCTCAACCGGGAAAGTTCTATCTAAATATGTAAAAATATACAGGGAGTTCCATTTAAGTTAACAAAGTTAACATCCGCGGCCATTTTGTTTGGACTTTATTTGTTTTTCTACTATCATTTTCGAAAAATTCATAAAAACTCGTTCAACTTTTATATTTCTAATTTTTTTATATCTCTTAAAACAAAAAAGTTAAAGGAGGGGTCAAAATATAGTGAATCACCCTGTACATGTGTGGAATTTGAAAAACAAATTGGATTTATAATAAATTACATTTAAAATAAATAGTTTATGAGAATAAAGGAATTTTTGTAGGAACAAGGGTGCCAGACGTGAACTGATCCCTTTGTCCCTTCATAATGTATAAAGAAATTATTCAATTTCTAAAACCCTTAAAAGCGTACTGCATTGGTTCCCTTGACAGGCAATGATTTACTACTTTGCATCGAATATGATCCTACTATAGGTATTTCATTTGTTTTATTGTTAATTGTTGTAATAACATGAAGAAACACTTAGTTTGTTTTGCTATCACTTTCTCGTATTATCAAAACATAGTGTTCGTTAAATCGATTTTTCTCGAAAACGGATCGAGATACCGAAATGAAACAAGAGCACATAATTAATGGAAAAATGATAGCTCTTTCAGGTTGTGAATGAAGTATCATGTTAAATATACAGGGTAAAAAGTTATTAACTAAATTTTTGGTAAAATTGGTCGTAAGTGGCGCCCTCTATGAGCAGCGCTGAATTTACAACACGCATCTTATTCGTCGCTTAAAAAATATAGTTTCAAAAATTTCCAAGTTCCTAACCTACATATTTTCAGAATAATCGCAAAAAAATTATTTAAAATTTTAACTTTCAACACCCTGTATTTCCGAAACTATCAACTTTTGGATAAGGCATGTTTACGCCAATGGTCACCATTTTACGTGTAGTATCTTCAGCTTTCGATTTTCCCATTGTTAATGAATCACCCTGTATATTACAGGGTATTAGGGGAATAACTTACTTAAATTTAAAACTCAATTTTTTGCAATATTTTGACCAAAAAAAGATTGAACTAAATTTTTCTTAAAATTGGCAACATTGCATTATTGGATTGTTGTGTGTACTAAAGGCAGGTTTACACGCTACAATAAATGCTAGCAATTTATCGTAACAATCGAATCGTTACGATTTATCGTTGGGTGTAAATAGGAAATTGTAGCGATTTATTGGAATGGGAGTTGGGTTGGATGGTTGATGCCGGCCGGGATCAATTTCTGCGAATCGTAACGACATGTTTGAACGTGTAAACAAGTAGCCGGCATTTCTCGCTACAATTTCACTCAGTTTGCATTTGCAATTCATCAGATATAGTCCGGTGATTGTTTTTGGCTGACCTTAACAACTCAACATAAGTCTCTTCGTCCATTCTCAAATAATTTCGCCAGTCATTCGGTTCATTTCTCAATTCTTTCATTAACTTCACATGAGAGAATTCTCTTCTCTTTAGTAACCACTCGCGGCTCCACTTTGTTATCTGTTTTCGCGCTTTTTTCACTTTTCTCGCTAAACAACCGATGTACAACGACAACAACACTACTTCCTCCATGGCAAAAGTTTTTTTGAGGTCGATAGCTGTTAACAACGAAATATGGAAGGAAATCGTTCCGATTTATCGTTAACGTGGAAACAGTACTCCACTCTTTCGATTTATTGCAGCAATAAATTTGTCACACATCGTTACGATTTCTCGTAGCGTGTAAACCGGCCTTTACAATTAGTATTTCGATTGGAATGGAATGTAAAATCTGCATTCTTGTTCTATTGGACCTATTAGATATTGATTTTGTCAATAACATGTTATTCAAAATGTAATACACCAGAACAAAAATTTGGTTTGGTTTATTAAAAATGAAGAAAAACTTTCCCTTCTGTGGTAATATAAAAAATAACTTGCACTAAATAATGACACAACATTTTTCTTTAAAGCAGATAACTCAATAAATTCCACAAATAATAATAATAATAATAATAATAATAATAATAATAATAATATGCCTTTATTTTCATATGAAAAACAAATTATTGAACATAATCATATAAATGGCGGCGAGATCTAGCAGAGCTACTCATTCTAACCGCCCGTTTTACAAAAAAAAAACATAAATATATATACACAGAGTAAATAAACACTACTATGTTTTAAGGGTAACAATGTGTTTCTTAATTGCTGTTTTAAAACTAGTCACAGTGGAGCAAGAGGTAACATTTGCAGGTAAAGAATTGTAAAGTTTTACAGCATTGTAACTAAAAGAGCGTTGAAACATTGCAGAACAGTGTCTTGGCATGACAAATTTGTTACAGTGACGAGTAATTCTATGATGCGTGTTTGCACCACGAATTAATTTATCACGCAAATAGTAAGGTTGTTCCCAAGTGATAACCTTGTATATTAATGTAGCCAAATGTACAATAAATCTCTCATCCAATTTTAACCAATTAGAAGAATCAAAAAGTGGTGTAATATGATCATACTTTCGCACACCATAACAGAATTTTAGACAAGCATTTTGTAATTTCTGAAGGCTGTTTTTGTCTTTAACAGTAAGTGCTGGCCAGTATAGAATATCGCAGTATGCTAGAGTTGAGAGAATTAATGTGTCAGTCAGTTTAAGTTTAATTTCAACTGATAGATAATCTTTATGCATGTAGAGCATTTTGAGTTTATAATAACACTTCTGTAACAAATGTGCCACATGTGTCTCATACCTTAGACGAAAGTCGACATATACACCCAGATTTTTTACACATGTCGTGGAAATTAGGTCAACTCCATTTATTTTGATTTTGAAATTATTATTGTTATGCAGTTCCTGACTGCCAAATATTATTAGCTGGGATTTTGTTTCATTTAAGACTAAACCATGACATTCTGATACTTCAGCAATTTTATTTAAATCTTCATTAATGTTATTTGCAGCCACATGTGAGTTTGTTAAAGAAAAAGAATAATAAATTTGCATATCATCTGCGTACTGATGTGAATTACAAAATGAAAAAAACTTAGAAAAATCAGCAGTATATAAAGCAAAAAGCAGAGGCCCCAAAATACTTCCTTGAGGCACACCTCTATTTAACATAACATAATCTGAAAAAGAATTACCGAAACTGACTCTCTGTTTGCGACCTTCTAGGTAACTGGACATAAATTTTAACGCGTTCTCATCTAATCCGAAGTATTTAAGTTTTAAGTGAAGAATTCTATGATTTAAGGTATCGAAAGCCTTACTATAATCCAACACTATCAAACATGTATTTAATTTATTGTCTGAGGCACAAAATATATCATCCGTAACATGTAACAAAGCTGTTTCTCTCATTTTCATTCAACCGTGTACACTAAATTAATCCTATATTTTTGCCCTAATTTAAATGTGTTGAATAACACTACTTAGTATACCGTGCTTTCACCGTACAACGCTACATAGGGAATAGCTTCATTCGAGTTCGTAAATTCGGAAGGGTGGGGAGCGCTGGGTGCTACAACCTGACTGATGTGAGATGTGATCATGTACGCCACAGCGCCGCACGCAGAGATCGACATCCCCACCGCTGAAGCCGCACGAGTTTGACCTACGCACCTCCTATGTAGTGTTTTCCCGTGGAAGCACGTTATGTATTTATTAAAAAATAATTGAATTTTAATGATTTTAGCCAGTATTTTTAACAAAAGAACAACGTGTTGCTGAAGCACTTAAGCGGCGTCAAGAGGAAGTTGATAGGCAGAGAAAACAACAAGAAGAGGAAAGGAAAATAATTGAAGCTATTCAAGCTAGTAGACAAGATGATACGAAGAAAGATGATAGGGAATACAGAAGAAATCGTGACAGAGAAAAAGAAGATGAAAAGCAGAGGGATAAAGATAAAGAAAAAGAACAAGACGCCATTAGAGAAAGATATTTAGGTTTGGTTAAAAAGAAACGAAGGATCAGACGTCTGAATGATAGAAAGTTTGTGTTTGATTGGGATGCAGGGGAAGATACGTCACTGGATTATAACTCATTATATAAAGAAAGGCATCAGGTATTATCTTGTATATTGATCAAATTATAACAAATGTTATAATTATGTAGTCAGTTCCTTAGGTTAGAAGTAAAAATGAAAATTGCCATATGGCATAATTTCGTATATAGACATTTTAAAGAAACTAAACATTTAGTATTTTATATACAAAACTTTTTCAGAATAATTTTTTATTTTATCAAAAAATAACAGACATAATGGTCTACAAGAATCCTTATAAATTTTTCCTAAATAGCAAATTCACATTTAATTTTGAGCCATGGTATAAGTTAATGTTCTAAAATTCAAGTTAGCTAACAAATAATATACCCAGTGTTCCTTTTTTATTCAATTATATATTTTGCTAATTCCAAACTGTAAAAACTTATTTATTTCAAATAGAACATCCTGTATTTTTTCGTTTCAAGTCCTTTCAAAATTTTATTGTTTTTTTAATATATCTAAGTATTGTCGAAGTTTAACCTAAAACTTTTTTGAATATAAGAATTTTCTTTGTATTTCAATAATTATTCATAAAAATTAAGGTTAAGTTAGCCTTGAATATATACATTTGAAGTGAAACAAGTGAGTGTTTCATTTAAAATAAATAAATTATTCTATGTTACATCCTCAATATCTAGTAAAAAGCTAAGATCATATGTCAGCAGAATGACAAAGTATTCTACTAACAAATAATCAGTGGCGGCTCGTGACATTGAGAATAGGTGAAGCATATTCATTGATTGACTAAAAAGAAAAGCACAGCAGGCGAAAATTTCAAAATCAAGCGGCTTTAAAGGAATCGAGAAATTTTTAGTTGCATTTGCAATATTACCAAAAAACTGACGTTCAGGAGAACGATTTTCATTTAGATTTTATAAAAAAATAGAAACACAATTGCATACAGAAAAGTTTTTTTAAATAAACACTTCCACACAACCACTTACACTCTGAATACCATTCATCCCAAAACTTCCGAACGTACACTTTGTCTTTTGACTTCCCCCTTTTTTCAACATCGAGAGAATGCCCAGATCTTTCGCAATTTAAAAAATCCTGTTTGTCCTCAATTTTCCATCTGGAAAATGGCGTTCCCAATAAAATACATACTGGATCATACATAGGAAACATTTCTACAATGAGGAAGTTGCATCAAATTTTCTTTTGAAGCAAAATTTATTTAAAGTGCAGAAAATTACTATAAAAGTATATTTCTATATGTAAAACCCCTTTAAACTTAGCTATTAATATGTATGTAATTATTGAAATATTGAATATAATTAGGTGGGCGAAAACGGTCAAATTGGTCAAGCAATTTGTGTCGTCAGGATTCGGTATATGAGTGTTAAGACTGTCAAGACGCGGGAGGCTGGCGCTGTCATTGCATTAATCTTGTATTGAATTAGTTTTTGTTCGCATCGAATTCAAACAATCAAAATCAATTTTATGAATTTTCGCTATCTCTGTTTACTCTAACTTTGAATTAGCCAACATGCATTTGGTATATTGTTGTGCTAATGGGAATGCCAGAAAAGCGTTACGTCTTTATGTTGATGCTAATCTCAATAACCAAAAATCCCTTCAGTTCATATTTTTGGAAGACTGTACCAAAGAATGTGTGATGGCATTTTATTTGAGAAAGACACTCATGATTCCAGAAGACCCAGGTCAGTGTCCACCCCTGAGGCAACGGGGCAATGTTAGCACAAGTAGAACAGAATCCAGAGACAAGTTTGCAGAGAATATAAGCGAATGTAGAAATTATATTATGGGCAAATAAATTTTATTATTATTATTATTATTCATTAGTGCGCCTCTGCCTGTACATAATAAAAAAGTGGTGTAAACGCAAAATGTGTCATATAAATGAAACCATCCATTTGGGAACCCATCTTCATTAAGACTTTTCTGCATATTTTGGGACCCCCCTCAAGTTTTTGACACATAAAAACCTTTTAGATTTTATCTGACTGTAGTTTTGTAGGAGTTTTAGTACTAGTATCAAATGGACTTAATATAGTAATTTGCTTAAAAAAAATGAATTTAAAAGTAGGTAGGTACCTACTTTACAAAATATTAACCCATCACCATATTCTCTGTATCCTTTTTTAAAACCTCTACTTGAGAAAGTAATTGTTTGTCCAAATATGCAATAAAACAATGATTTATATTAAATACACCATAAATTTTATTAGCTTTTAACATACTTCAATAAAATTGAAATTTCTTAAGTATGGTGGTGCAAAAGCTTTTTTGTTTCTTGTATGGTGTCTATAAATAGTTAGACAATGGCAACGAACTATCCATCATTATGGACTTTATTTTGATTTTTACTTGTATTTCTTGTTTTGCTAGGAAATTGATTAGAAATTTCGGCGGGAAAGATTTAAATATTTATAAGATCGTAATAAGCTAAGGATCATTCATAATTAAAAATCATTATTCAAGACAAATTTAGATTTTCATGTCACCATGAAAGTCTCAATAAGTCATAATAGTTTATTTGATTCCTTTTATTAGGGTTTTTTAACCTTCTATGATTATTGACACAGAAATATAAATTTAAATATAGTTTTATAAACAGTTTTTATGAAGGTCTCATAGGTTATTAAAAAATTTGCTACTTGGGAGTACCTTAGATTTAGATCTAGGAAATCACTTCCAGAAGACTACTAGATATTTTGTTGAAAATTGTAGGTACAATTTTTCGGCAGAGGAAATCTTGCTGGTATAGACATAAAAGCGCAAAAGAGAGATCAAAGTAAATTTTATGGTGAACTATTGGAGAAAAGAAGAACAGAAGCTGAGAAGGCACAAGAAAAGGTAAGGCTGAAAAAGGTTAGAAGAAGAGAAGAAAAACAGTTGTGGGATGACAGACACTGGACTGAGAAAGAAATTTCGGAAATGACAGAAAGAGATTGGCGTATTTTTAGGGAGGATTATAATATTACAATAAAAGGTAATAGTTTAAAGCTATTTATAATAGTATATTTGCATAAAATTGTGTCACGTAATAAAAACACAAGGATTTTTGAAGGGCATAAAACAAATATTTTGTCATTGAAAATTGATAGCTTCTTATAGATTAAATTCATTGATCTTGTATAATACAAGATACTATCAACATTAAGTGACAAAATATCAATAATTTCATTAATATTTCTATAAACGTAGCATTAATCATTTTAGAAAGTATCGAGATTATTATGATATGAGTAAAGTGGTATTGAATCAAAACTATCTTGGCAGTTAAAAAGTCTTTGAAATCACTCGTAACATTCAACTTGAATTTTTATTTTCTTAATTATCATTTTATTTGTATTTCATATTATTCAATTCACTTTATTCAACTATTCATGACAAGCAAAAGATAAACTTTTCTTAGAGTAGTCTGCACAGTGTTTGTTTTTTCAAATCAGTATATACATACAGGGCGTTTGTAAATAAGTCCGAATTATTTTAGGGTGTGGTTGCCGGTTATTTTGTGGAAAAAAGTTCATATAAACGTAGATCGAAATATGCTTTGTTTTCGAGATACAGTGTTTAAAATTTAATTTTTTATTTATTTTTTTTTCAAACAGAGAGAGAGAGAAGAACTAATCATGTTAATCCTGTAGTGAAAACCAAAAAAAGTGGCATCATAGTGCTTTGGTCTCTGCCTCGTAATCCAGAAACATCCAACAGGGAATAAATATAGAGGGTTCGAAAATAGCCAAATATAGAAATTTTTTTAAATTTAGTGTTTTTCTTATTACAGTTGGTACCACAGACACTGATTCATTGTTGTCATTGGTGGTTGAAAAAAATATTTTTTACTATAGACAATAATTTTGCTAGTTCTAAATTAGTTTTGACGTGTTGGATACAAATGTTTGATATTCTTACATTGAACAACAACTAACAATTTTTCAACCTACCATACTTGTGGAGAGGCCACTCTCCTATACAAATGCACTTGATCTAGGCATCTAGCCACGGGAGTATAAAACATCCACGGGGCTCGAATTTACGAGAATATTCCCTAAAACTTTGACCCTTATCATTTAATTTATAGGTATGAAAATAAGAGATAAAGAAGGCAGAATTCTACATAAATGTCACTATACATACATATAAGTAAAAGTTTATTTTCTGATTTTATTATGTTCTTAATATGTTATATAGTTAATATATCGTCAAAAAAATAGCATATTATAAACAGAAAAAGTGAGATATTAGCGAATCATGTTATTCACTCTGCCATCTTTGTGGACACTTTCTCACCTGGCACTAAAATCTATTACCTTTATCCCTAGTACAAAAAGTAACTATTTTATATTGTTTTAATGGCAATACAACATTTATTTATTTTCCAGGTGGAAAAATTCCTGAACCTATACGTAATTGGAAAGAATCTGGTATACAAAAAGAACTTTTGGAAATTGTTGAAAAGGTGGGATATAAGGAGCCAACTCCAATTCAGAGGCAAGCTATTCCTATTGGTATGCAAAACAGAGATATTATTGGAGTTGCTGAGACTGGCTCTGGTAAAACTCTTGCATTTCTGTTTCCATTACTTTCATGGATTCAGTCTTTACCTAAAATCGAACGCACTGAAGATGCCGATCAGGGTCCTTATGCCATTATTTTGGCACCTACTCGTGAATTAGCTCAGCAAATTGAAGAAGAAACAGTCAAATTTGGTCAACCTCTCGGTATTAGAACTGTAGTAGTTGTTGGAGGTTTAAGTAGAGAAGAACAAGGTTTCAGACTCAGAATGGGCTGTGAAATTGTAATTGCCACTCCGGGACGTCTAATTGATGTATTGGAGAACAGATATCTAGTTTTAGCCCAGTGTACATACATTGTACTTGATGAAGCAGATAGAATGATTGATTTAGGTTTTGAGCCAGATGTCCAGAAAATTTTAGAGTACATGCCTGTTTCTAATCTAAAACCAGATTCGGAGGAGGCCGAAGACAGTAGAGTATTATTAGCAAATTACAATAGCAAAAAGAAATATAGACAGACAGTGATGTTTACAGCAACTATGCCTCCCGCAGTTGAAAGACTTGCTAGAACTTATTTGAGAAGGCCTGCTGTTGTATATATAGGTTCCATTGGTAAGCCAGTGGAAAGGGTGGAACAAATTGTACACATTATGGGAGAAAATGATAAGAGAAAAAAACTTATGGAGTATCTTTCCAGAGGTATAGAACCACCAATTATAATATTTGTAAACCAGAAAAAAGGCGCAGACGTTTTGGCTAAGGGTTTGGAAAAACTTGGATACAATGCTTGTACTCTCCATGGAGGTAAAGGGCAGGAACAAAGAGAATACGCCTTAGCAAGTCTTAAATCTGGTGCTAAAGACATTTTAGTTGCAACTGATGTTGCTGGAAGAGGAATCGATATTAAAGATGTCTCTATGGTTATCAATTATGACATGGCTAAAACTATTGAAGGTATGTCTTAATTTAGAAATAATATCATTTTAAAATTAGTATTCAATTTGCGACAGACTACCATCTTTAATGTTTCAAGTATATTTTTTAAAAAATAAGAAATTCTTATATTTGAAAAGTTGCTCCTTCCTCTTTTAAAAGCGGCATTTTGCTGGTACTGTTTCTTTTGCGAGCCACGAAAGGGCGAGTCACGGGGAGCATAGCACCCCACTGCCGTTCCTTTAACTGGCAGGTTTATTTTCATATCTTCTCACCAAAAACAAGACATTTCAGACATTATTACATTGGAAATACCGAATTTGACCATTTTAAGATTTCTGTATACAGTGCTATTTTTTTAAAACCTGACATAGGCCAACTTTTTTATTTAAAGTGACAGACTAGTACTTCCAAATGGAATGTTGTAAATAACTTGATTAAGAAAAATTTACAAATAATTCTTTCTGGTGTTGCCAGATTTCTGCAGTAGCTACTAAAACGATATTTTTTTAAATGACAACACCCTATTTTTTTAATATAATTTGACAAGCTTTGAAATTCCAATTAAATAATGTTATGTCACATTTCTTTATTGGAGTAGGTAGCCGTTTTAGAAAAAATAATCTGCAGTCGGCAGTAACTAAAAGAAACTAACATAGCAATAGTAGGCCTTGAATATTAAACAAAAATTGTGTTGTTTGAAAGGAGCCATCATTATTGTAATGTTTTTGTGTTATTTGATAGCTGTTGTATTTGAATATGTCTAGAAAATAATGTTTGAATTCAGTTGCTAAGATGAATCAGTTCCACAATCAATTCACAAGAGAAAGTTGAATTAATTTTTAATTCCACGCAAGACATCCCGATAAGCCTCTTCCAAATCTGGAGTATTTAAAAAATAACTTAGTAAAACTAAAAACAACTGGTAGTGTGTGCCCAAGAATCTGCAAAAGGCTGAAAATCATCTTAACAATTTAATTAAAACGTTATTTTTATACACATTCAAATACAACAGCTGTCAAATACCACAATGACAGCACAATAATGATGGCACCTTTTAAATAACACTATTTTTGTTTAATATTCAAGGCCTAATATTGGAGATTAGTTTCGTCATCTTTGTTGATTGTTCTGAAAAGGCTACTCCAATCAAGAAATATGACATAACATTTTTTATTTAGAATTTCAAGACTTGTCAAATTATATTAAAAAAATACGGTGTAGCCATTTAAAAAAATATCGTTTTAGTAGCTACTGCAGAAATCTGGCAACACCGGAAACAATAATATGTAAATTTTTCTTAATCAAGTTATTTCCTACAACTTTGCATTTGGAAATACTAGTCTATCACCTCAAATAAAAAAGTTGATCTATGTCAGGTTTTAAAAAAATAGCACTGTATATATGTGCTGATCTAAACGTTGAAATATTCTATGTAGGCTCTACTCATCTATTGGTTGCCATGACTCAGTTTGTCAGCCTATAAAACATCCAGATTTACTTCTGTTAAAAAAAAAATGTGAAATGGTATTAAGGTGGCCATATCCCTGGCCGAGAAATAGTCAAATTTCTGGCATTTTTAGGTACTGAAATCTTGAAAAGTAAAACGTATAGAACAAAAGTAAGCACAAAAATAAAATCCTTGATGTTCTGTTTATTCATTGTTACTATTTAAATTTACTCAAATAAAATAGTAACTAAAAAAAAGGGTTTGTAAAACATGCGTTTGCTGTTATCCTAACTCCACATTTTAAGAAATATTTTCACGTACTTATAAATAAAAGTAAACAATTTTATATGTAGGACTAAGAAAGTAAATGTTATTACATGTCGAGTTGTATATAAAAAAGTTAGTATTTTCGTAGATTTCAGTACCTTAAACCTTGATGTTTTGACCGTTTTTTGCACCTGTTTATTCGTTTTACTGCGGCGTCTTTGAAAATATCCAGATGGCATGACATAACTTTCCTATTATTTGATAAGCTTTAGATTATTCAGTTATAAAATGTTTGAAATTATTTGTCTGTGGAAAACACTATTTAAAGAATATGGCGCCCTTAAGGAGATTTATCGGGTACGGAGGTACGTCTAAAGTCTAACCAGACATACAGGGTGATTTTGAAAGTGGGGTAGTAATTTTAGTATGCGCCTACTTATTTCAAGAACAAGTCTTATACAAAAAATAGAAGAATAAAATGTTATTTATAAAAAATCAGAAATAACTCACCTATTTTCGCATTTTTAAATTATGTAATCCGGTCCTGTACATTCATAGCAAATGTTCAAAATTATTTCCGTTTTCCTGTAAACAAAACCTATCCCGGCGGACCCATAATTCAGTGCAAGAAGATAACAGCCCATCATGTTGGCGGATTGTTTCGGCAGAGTTTTCTATCCTTACTCGTAATTTTTTAACACTGGCGACTTCAGGGCCATCATAAACTAACATTTTCATGTGTCCCCACAGGTAAAAATCACAAGGATTTAAGACCGGAGCGCGTGGAGGCCATAGAATTGGTCCATTACGTCCGACCCATCTGTCATTAAAGACATTGTTTAAATGATCACGTACTTCACACCGAAAATGAGGCGGAGCGCTATCGTGTAAATACTACATATTTTGACGAACATGTAACGGAATTTCTTCAGGTAATTCAGGTAAATTATTCTGAAAGAAATGCAGATAGTCTAAACCAGTTAGCTGATCCGGCAAAATGACAGGTCCAACAAGCTTTCCGTCTACAATTCCTGCCCACACATTTAAGGAAAATCTTTGCTGGAAGTTTGTTCGTCAAATTGCATGGGGATTTTCTACAGCCCATACATGTGCATTATGGAAGTTATTTATCCCATTTCTAGTAAAAGTCGCTTCATCCGTTACCAAGATACGTCTCATAAAATTTTCGCTAGCATTGTTTTGTTGCAGTAACCATTCACAAAATTGAACTCTCTTAGGGTGATCCTCGGGTAGTAATGCGTGCACACGTTGTATGTGGAAGGGATAAAATCGATTTTCTCGTGAAGTTTGCCATACTTTGCTTTGGGATACATTTACCTGGTGTGAAATTTTTCTCGTTCTTGTTGTGGGGTTCTCCTCAACAATATCCAAAATCTCTTCTTCAGCCTGCATCATTCGCAAAGGACGAGCTCGTCCAGCGTGATTTCCACGGTTTTCTTGCAGTTTGCCTGTATCCCGGGCTCGTTGTGTTCGTCTTGCAGAGGGATGAAACCTACGAGGAAATTTCTGTGCATAGCGTTGAGCAGCATGCGCCGAATTTTGATTACACTCCGTACACTAACAACATATCCACAAGTTCATTATTACTATACACATGGGCCACTGTTTTATCACTCTGCCAGCAAATTAACATACAAAATACTAAATACACAGTACAAAACACCAAAATGATAACGAAAACACAATTCGTTTATAATACGTACTAACTGAAGGAAGCGTGACAATCAAAGCAAGGACTGCACGCGCTACTTAACACGTGGCTTATAGATAACGTATCGGTTAACATTAGCGTGTTCCGTTGCTTGACCTATTAGGGTAAGTTAGGGGTTTACAGAGTCGGCTTCAAAAGGACCACGCAATTTTTTGATGGAAAATGGACTTCCGTTAAATTGGTTGGAATTTTGATATGTTATGTATTTTGTCCTTCTGATCAAATGTCTCAATGGGCAGAAATTCCTGTGACCTCAGGATTTTAAGATACAGCCTGCTGAAGTTGGAACTATTCTGAGATGCGTTCATATTGGTCAAATCTGTGCCATTTTTTAAGTTGTATGTGTTCAGCGAGGTTTGAAAACACCTCGCAAACTTTGTTAGCAATTAATTGTTGTTCATTATCATACTCCCGATAGGTATATATGTCATATGACGTCATGACATGTCATTACGCGTCATATGTCGTCATGACATGTCATTACGCATCATAAAACGTCAAAGTTCAAAGTACTTTTCTTTCTGTTACTGTACGCCTCACATTGTTTTATAATCTAATAAGCAGCATTAACGGTCTCATCCTGTCACGCATCGTGAAGTCATTGCAGGTAAGTTTTGGTCATCCAATGTCATATGACGTCATCTCATGCAACACATCTACATATCAGAAACATGATAATGTATTACAATCAATTTCTTATAAAATGATATAATGTGAGCAAATATTTAACTCACAGTAAAACATGATTTGTTCAAAAGGAACTATTACTCTGTGTGACATGAGATGACAATGTATGACCAGAACTTGCCTGCAATGACGATGCATAACAGACTGAGACCGTCAATGCTGCTTATTAGATAATAAAATAATGAGAGGCGTCCGTAAGAGACAGAAAAGTACTTTGACGTTTTATGACGCGTAATGACATGTTATGACGTCATATGACACAGCTATGTGCATCAGGAATTTGATAATATATTTCAATTATTTGCTTACGAATCGATACAACATGTTCAGAGATTAACTTACAGTAAAACCTGATTTACTCAAAAGGAACTACTACCTTGTGTGACATGAGATGACGTCATATGACATTGGATGACCAAAACTTACCTGCAATGACTTCACGATGCATGACAGGATGATACCATTAATGCTGCTTATTAGATTATAAAACAATGTGACGCATCCAGTAACAGAAAGAAAAGTACTTTGAACTTTGAGGTTTTATGATGCGTAATGATGTCATAACGTCTATGACATATATACCTATCGGGAGTATGATAATGAACTACAATTAATTGCTAACGAAGTTTGCAAGGTGTTTTCAAACCTCGCTGAACACCTACAACTTAAAAAATGGCACAGATTTGACCCATATGAACGCGTCTCCAGTGCAGAATAGTTCCAACTTCAGCCAGCTGTATCTTAAAATCCTGAGGTCACAGGAGTTTCTGCCCATTGAGACATTTGATCAGAAGGACAAAATACATAACATATCAAAATTCCAACCAATTTAACGGAAGTCCATTTTCCATAAAGAAATTGCGTGGTCCTTTGCAATAACTTTAA